GATAACTGTGTATCAAGCATTCTTTTAGGGGCTAAGAATTCTTTAGTGAAGAAAATGTTCCTGCTCTAAGGGAGGAGAACAGGAAGGAAGAGCAAGTAGTATATAATATATATTATAATATGTTGGAAAAGCCAAGAAAATAATAAAACAGAGTATGTAACAGAAAGGGAGTGCTGAGTGGATGAGGAAAGATTGCAAATTTATATTGGTAGATCATGGAAGACATCTGAGCAGACTTGAGAAAGGTAAGAAATAAGCAAACCTGCGTGTATTCAGGAGAAGAGTATTCTAACTGTAGAAAAATACAAATGCAAAATCCTGTGAGGCAGGTGCATGTCTGGCGTGACCTGGAAACAGCAAGGTCAGCACCACAACGTTGGAGTGGGCATGGGGAAAAGTGTCAGCAGCTGGAGGGCCAGACGGGAGCCATGTGTCCAGCAGTGGCAGGCTGGAGTTGGCTGGCAATCAGCTGAAGAGCAGGTATATTCTAGAACTTTTGAGTCCCATTGTAGGAGTAATTATACCACAAAAATAGGCAAATACTATAAATCAGAGGCTTTTCCCACTCTGGAAATCCAATTTATCAACATATTGCTGCCTATGGGCCACTTTAAGAACAGTCATGTGCAATATAATGATGTTTTTTGGTCAACAACAAACCACAAAAATGGCAGTGAGCCAATAATATTATAATGGAACTGAAAGTTTCCTGTCACTTAGTGATATCATAGCCATGTTAATATCATAGCACAACACATTACTCACATTTGTGGTGATGCTGGTGTAAACAAACCTACTGCACTGCCACTCCTATAAAAGTATACATATATAATTATGCACATTAAACTTGATAATGATAATGACTATATTACTGGTTTACATATTTACTATACCATTCATTTTATTATTGTTTTAGAGTATACTCTTTCTACTTATTAAAAAAATCTGCTGTAAAACAGAGTGCTGTGTTTGACAGGCAGTAATCCACTTCACGTTTACCGTGTGTCTCTTGGTTGCATCATTTCTCTTTCCTCGATTTAATCTCATGTTGTTTTGTACAGCCACAGGCTGTATAGTTTTGTAGCCTAGGAGCGGCAGGCTATCCCATATGGTCTAGGTATGCAGTAGGCTATACCATCTAGTTTAAGGAGGTACGCTGTATAACATTCCAACAATGAAACTGCCCGATGACACATTTCTCAGAACACACCCCCACTGGCAAGCAGCGGGGGTGTGTAACTATACTTTGTCTTTCACTTTGAGTGAGATCCAAAGCTGCTGGAAAGGTAGTCTTCTGCCTCCCACTACTTCAGTTCTGAACAGAGGGAACAAATGGCAAAAACAAGGAAACTAACTTGGAGGCTGTTAGTATCATCTAGGTGAGATATGGCAGTGACCACCAGGGGTGTCCAACCCTTTGGTGTCTCTGTGCCACACTGCGCAAAGAGTTGTTTTGGGCCACATATTAAATATGTTATGACACGTAATCACAAAAAATATCATAATGTTTTAAGCAAATTTATGATTTTGTGTTAGGCTGCATTCACAGCCATCCTGGGCTGCACGTGGCCCATGGACCAAAGGTTAGACACCCCTGAAAACACCAGTGGTGAGAAAGTGAGAAAAAGTCCAATTTGGGATATTAAGAGCTGTTCTGATTTAAATCAGTATGCCACAATAGTAAACAAGCCTCCTGCCTACAACTCAATATATACATATGTATATATTTACCACATTTTTTTAAAAGGGTAGGAAAATGTTGCTAAGGAGAAGGGAAAAGCCAAAAAACAAATTTTAACTAAAGTAATCAGAAGAGCCAAAGGTACCAATAAGAAAAAAAACAGTAAAATCATGAAAAGGGACACCCCTTGGGAAGAGGATTCTACATTCCTGTTAGGTTGGAAGTGACACCTTGAAAGCCAAAAGAACACATCAGATGTCAGATAAGCCAGACTGAGGCTTGCCCGCTGATCTAACAAAGACAGTTGCTGGGCAGCACAAATCCCACTAACATAACACAGTGACAAAGCCAAGTCACAGCGACCTGGCTTATCAGTCTTTACTATGAGGATATAACAAAAGAATGGGTGGACACTGTAACTTGTGACTTTACTTAATACAGACTGGAAAAAATGTCTTTTCTTAGGCGTGCCAAAAACCTAATTACAGTAAAATGCAGTCATTAGCACAACCTACTTTATCCATCTTATAACACAGATAGGACTGTAACAGCTGTTACAGTAACACAATGGCACTTTCATAATCCTATAATTCAGAAAGATGTATATTCTATGGTATATAACATATAAGACTAATATGTGTAGTTTGTTCTCCATATATCCCTTAAATGTTAGCAGTGAATTTTGTGTTCGTGTTTTCCCAGAATTACTAACACTTTTTGTACGCTCTTTTCTTCAAGAATAACATGAATACAGAAATATATATAAGCTTGGTGAATTTTCACAAAGTGAACACACCCATAATGCTAGTATCCAAAACAAGAAACAGAACATAACCAGCACCCTAGAGGGTCCCTTCGGACCCACTCTAAACACTTTCCCCAACCCACAACAAGGATAATAAATTTCCTGGCGTCTGATGCTGCAGATTAGTTCTACCTGTTTTTGAAATTTATGTAAAAGAGTTACAAAGCATGCATGCTTTAGTGCCTGGCTTCTTTTGCTCAGCAATGCATTTGTGAAATCCACACATCATTCATTACATGTAGTTGTAGTTTGTTCATTCTGATCACTATTTAATATCCACTGTGTGGCTGTACCAGAAAGTTATTTACCCATTCTACTATTGATAGGCTTTTGGAAAATTCCAGTTTGGAGTATTACAATTAGCCCTACAACAAACATTTTTTGTCCATGACTTTTGGTGAATATAAGCACACAGTTCCGTTGTGTATAAATATAGGAATGGAACTGCTGAGTCATAGAGCATGCATGTGTTCAACTTTAGTAAATAACAAATAAACTTTTAAGGAAGAAATATTTTAAGATCTTTACAGGGAAATTTGAATGATTAATGATTTATCATAAAGTATTGACTTCAAATACTACTTTCAAGAAGGTAAACATATTGAAGTAGAATGGTTGTTCCAAATCGCTTCCAAAGAAGGCAATTTACTTTAGAATATTTTTACCTGCAATTTAGTCTATGACAATAATGGAAGTAACCATATTAGTCTTGTCCTTTTCAGAATTGATGAGGCTAAATATTTTGGAACAAACTATTGAGCCATTACTATCAACAAAGTAAACCACTTTCTCAATTTGCTACAGAATATAATGTTACCAGTCAGAACTCTGCAACAGTTACACCTGTACTCATATAATCATACTCCCTCGGATTAAAAGGGACTTCAGAACTAATCTAACCTTCCAGTGGATGCCTTCTATATCAGTGACAATGATCATGTTAACAAACATTTATTTACCCCTGGAACAGAAAAAGAACTTGAGGCAAAAATCTAAGGAAAGCAGAATAAAGTACAGACTTGAGTTATTAACAATGTATCAACACTGGTTCATTAATTGTAACAAATGTACTATAATTGTACTATATAATGTGAGATGTTAATAATAAAGGAGATAAATGGGAATTCTGTGTACTATTTTCACCACTTTCTTATAAATCCTAAAGTTTTTAAATAAACTTTATTCTTAAAAATCCATTTAAAACATCGTAACATAATCTACAGATTGTCATAAACCTGCTAAACTCCTCTCAGAATGCAATCCAAATGAACTTCAAGAGCTGTCATACACTCACACACACATACATATACATGCACACGTAAACTCTTCATTTAAAGGGGTCAGACACATAGACATGTGGGGGAGCCATTCTATCTATGCTGATTTTGGTCTTGCTCCTGGCTCTGAAATTACGAACAAGACTCAGACTTCCTTTTTCATTCCAACTAATCTAACTATTTTTAGTATACACTATAGGTGCTTAGTGAATCATTAAAAAGCATTCTCCTGGTTACCTTTATACAATAAAATAAAAGCATCCAAACTCCAAGTCAAATCAATTCTCTGGTAAATCCAACTTATGTGGTTTAAATCATTGAGTCTTTCCCTTCACTTCAGGGAGGAATAAAGGGAAAAAATAGACTGTGCCTTACAGCTAGGAGGGAAAACAAGTAGCCCTAATTCGGATGAGAGCTAGTGAAAGGACCTCTGGGCAAAAAGGCAGGAGATTTAGCCTCTAGCTTAATTCCGACACTGATCTGCTCTTCAGTCTTTGAACATTTTCCTGAACATCTTATCACTTCTTGGCTATGCCAGACATCCTAGTTAAATCTTTTATCCTATCCATTCTATAAAACCTTAAAGTATCTAAAAAGAAACATACTATCCTACCAGGAATGAATGTTTACACCTACTGAGGAATGGGGGGTGGGGAGCAAACTGTCAATTGTGGTTGTAGTTTATATCTAAATGCAACTTGAAATTTGGTTCTTCTATAGCATGAGTTGGCAAATTTTTTTAGAGAACCAGATATTTCAGGCTCTGTAGACCATGTGGTCTCTGTCAAACTCAACTCTGTTGTTGTGTGCAAAAGCAGCCATTGACAATATGTGAATAGATCTATCTGTATTCAATAAAACTTTATTTACAAAAACACAGTGGCCCTGGCTGGGTAGCTCAGTTGGTCACAGCATCATTCTGATATGACAAGATTGCAGGTTCAATCCCCAGTCAAGGCACATACAGGGGTCACCCAGTAAATACGTAAACGGGTGTAGCAACAGAAGTCAATATCTCTCACTGTCTCTCTCTTGTTGTCTCTCTCAAACCAATAAATAAAATTTAAAAAAATAACACAGATGTCCCTGTGATAATTTGCCAATCCCTGTTCTATAATATCAGGGGAAGATAAATCACTGGAAAGATCAATTTTGGTAAAACCACATCATGAGTTCACACTGGAATAAACTTTTGTTTGCAGGAAGGAAATGCTTACGAATCATGATCTTCACATACCTGAGAATGTTCAAGTTTCCCCTGCATGAACAGGTCTCATCACCAATACCTAAGACAGAGCAGGAAAACACTCTCCCTTACATGGTTGTTATGACATAACAGGGGATATGTTAATTTATGTGGGCAAAATTTACAAGGTGACCTGCAAAAGTAAAATACCAGGTTTTAGCAATTTTTAGCAATAAATACAGAAATCCAAACCTCATTAATATTAACATCACTTCTGTATATTAAGGTAAACTGATTCAGATAAATGTCAAGGTCATTGGCTTTCCTGGGAGAGCTATTCTTTCTCCATGCAACCCACACCCTTGGTTATCCATAACCTGTTAAATTTCCAAAAGGCCATAGTAACTAACTGTGAGCCAACAGAAGTTCTGACTGATTCTGGGACGAGACAGGGGTTGCTCACCTGCACATGGTCGAATCAGGCCAAGATCAGATCTATCATCCTTTAGGATCTACCCTAGTAAAAATGTTCCATTCTGCCAAAGTCACCAAGCTAAATTCAGCACCATGTTAGCTACCAGGTGTTCAGTAGCAGGCTGGAGCAAAGAGCCGTCCCACAGGGATCAAGCAAGTGCCTTTTTAAAAGCAAATCTTAAAAAGTTCCTCTACATGGCTTTGCAAAGTAAGCAAAAACCATGCCAAATAGTAAAAAAGGCACTTACTTGACTCCCACAGGCCAGCTCCACACTCTAGCAGCTAAGATGTCACTAGCATGGCACATGGAGTAAGGTGGAAATGGGATCTTGCCAACCACTGTAGGAATGGTAGTAAAAGACCTAAAAGAACAGAAAAAAGTAAAGTCAATGTAAAAGGAAATGGCCCTCCTGAGCCTGGTGACATGGGAAACTCAGCATATAATGCCAGAAAAAGAAAAAGAAATGTGAAAAGATCTTATTTAGGTCAATTTTAGCTGCCAGTTAGACAGCTATAGTGATCCTTAGGACAAAAGGGCACTTTTAAAGGAATGTGCATCATAACCTAGAATAAATCCAGATTGCTTATGAGAAACTAATATATGCAGTTTGTCACAAAAAGAGTATTGAATCTTTGATAACCACATAGGAAGCTCATACAGATGTAAAAACAGAGAATCTAAAGCAACAATTCATGAACCAATACTTTCAAAAATAGTAAAGAAGGGACATTTTTTTCCACCCCATCTCTATGCTTCCAGCATTCAAAAAACAAACAGAACCATAAAAAACAATGAAGAAGTAAGAAATGTTTTTAAAAACTTAATGGGACCCTGGCAACAGAAGACAGATTATCCAGGTTCACTCAGGAACTTTCAATAGTTTCAGAAGTAAGTTTACAAAACTTAGAAATCTTGGTGCACACACACAAAAAAAATGTCTTATTTATTTGCCTAGCCACACAAGTCTCTGGTTTAGCAGTTGTGTTGCAAAATGCTTGACTTGGCCCTGGCCAGTGTGGCTCAGTTGGCTGGAGTGTTGTCATGCACACAGAAAAGTTGTGGGTTCAATTCTGGGTCAGGGTACATATCTAAGCTGTGTGTTCAATCCCCTATCGCAGCTTATAGGAGGCAACCAACTGATGTTTCTCTTGCTCTTTCCACCCACCTGAAATTAATAAACATATATATTTTTAAAATGCTTAACTCAGTAAACTGAATCAGAGATCATTCAAAAAAGAACAATGGTAACTTTTTTAAAAGCCTATTTTCACAAAGCACTACCTCCTCTCTCCATACTTAGATTTTTCATGGGTAAAATAATTTGTGAACAAAAAATATATTTGTGTGATTTGCATGAAAAACACCAACAGTGAAAAAACAAAATCTTTCTCAGCAATATCCACTCTCCTGTTCTATCTAATCATTCCTACCAAAAAAGAAATCTCTTCTTTTACTTCCAGGTACATTCAGCATCCTTTCCTTCAGAACCACAATGGAAGAAATAGGCGGTTGAGTTTAATCATCCTTGACATCCAAGAATTTATCCAATAATTTAAGTTTGTATTCTTAATCAGTTTTAGCTTTAAGACTATTATTGCACTATCCCATAATTCGAATATGCTTAAAGTTTGGTCACATTCTTAAGATGAGCTGGTGATTCAAACTGTGCAGGGCTCAATTAATTTAATTAGAATAGGATATTCACTGTTAATAGCATATCTGGCCAGACTACATCTTGAGTGCCTAACTAACATTTTCTTCTCAACTTTGGCTTGTGTTTGCCTCGCCTTGGCAACAGTCCCTGGAAAGCATACCATCTATCAGCGTTTCCCTTGATGCATCAGCATTTCTGGTTAATGCACTACAGCAAATCATTTGGAGGGACAACCTGAATGAAGCTCTGCACCATGTATTTTGCAGAATCTTTCAAACCATTACCAAAGATGTTACAAATGAAACTGCATGAAATTAGTAAGAAATATATTTACCAGAGATTGCCTTTTTAAAACAATGACTACAGTTATTGGCTGTTTGTTGGAGCATCGTCCAGTGAACCAAGGGGTTGTGAGTTTGATCCTCAGTCAGAAGCCATGTGTGGGCTGCAGGTTCAGTCCCCAGTAGGGGTGCATACAGGAGAAAATGGGTGGATGTACGTCTCTCTCTCTCTCTCTCTCTCTCTGCCCCCTTCCTCTCTCTCTAAAATCAATAAACAGATCCTCAAGTGCAGATTTTTTTAATTAAATAAAAGAATTAAAACAATGACTACAATGTAAGAATATAGCTGGCAAATAATATCTATCATTAAGTAAATATAAGGCTTATTAGTAAGAGAAATATTTACTTCACACCAACTACCTGACTCAAAAGAAAGTAACTCACCTCCTTCCTAGACCTTATTTTCCTTTGCTCCACAAAACCAAGACATAATTCAAAAAGTCCTGTTACCACTTAAGACACATACCTTTTTACAAAATAAGGGGATAGTCCAAAATTTCAAATTATTCCAAACACAAAGAAAAAAAACAGTAAATAAATGCCAACAAGTTTCCATCCACAGCCTGTATGCACTTGAAAAATCTGAGAATTTTAATACAGTAAACCAAGATCTCGCTGCAGCACTCAATCCCTAACGAGCCCTCTGTATCACAGCAGATGCCATTCTGCATTTTACAGAAGACATATTCATCTGTGTAATGAAACATTACTCTTCTCTGCTTACTCTCGGGAAGTACAAAGGGCTTTCCCAAGAATACAATAAATGAGGACATTCCACACCAAAAAAAGGAAATTGGCTATTTTTAAAGTCAAAATAACATTCTCAACCTAACTTTAGAAATGATGTAATATATTCCTCTTTCCTACCCCCACCCCAATATTCAACTAAAAAGACCTCCAGTCAACAGAAGAGTTATTAAATATGTGAAATTCAAAACAACACTTAACAAAGGAAATAAAATGAAAAATGAGTGAAACTAAATATTTTTAAAGTGTCAATTAAAGAGAACAAAATTGCATAAGGATACATACAGTGTACTATCATAAGGATTAAAGCACTCTTACAATACTATATAAGGCATATGTGTAAACACACACAGAATAAACACATGCATGGGAATGGTAAACACCAACTTGGAGAGGATGTCACTTTCGAGAAAGAGAACAGGAAACAGAAAGCGTACTTGGGGCAGCAATTACAGTTGTTTTAATTTCTCAAGCTAAACAAAATGCATTATTCTACTTGTTTGTATAGACATAACATACTTCATAATCTAAAAAGAAAAGACTGTTTCCCTTGTATGTTGCCTAAACACAATATAATTGCCTTATGAAGGGCCACCTCACCCCACAGCCCTTCCTTGTCCCCCCCAAAAAACCCTGTTGCTGGAAAAGCCTTCCATGTAAGCTTCTTTGACAGCCTGCTCTTCAGGAGTTTTCTGTCTTTTCTTTGACTAGTGCCGCCACTTTCTGGTGCTGGCTTTGATGGGATCTTCAAATCCATAACTCAGGGCCCCAGCTTGCCTCTACTTCTAATCTTACCAAGAATACACATTTTAGACAAGAAATCTATTATAGTTGCCTTTCATTTCCCTCCTTTCACTGCTAAAAGCTCCAACAATCATTAAAAAGAAATCACTATATATTTAAAGCTCACCTGACTTTGTGGCACTTGGCCAAGTTATGAACTTGATTTCATTCTGACTCAAATGCCAATGCAGAATGAGATATTAAAATTAAAGAAAGTACTGACTGGAGTTCAATTCTTCATCTAATAAATAAAGACTCCAAAATTCTGCAATACGTCATACTGTAATTCTGTTTTCCCAGCTCAACTGTGCTTAGACAACATTTTGTTTTGAAGCTTAAGTCAAAACTGGAAATGGAAAAAAATCATTTTCTTTGGGGTTAAAACAAAAACAAAGAAATAAACCCCAACTACTAACATGCATACAAATAAGACATTCACACAGAGTATAACAGACCCCCTCAAAAATAAAAATAAAACCACCTCCACCTCTTCCCGATCAGAAAACTCACTCATCCTGTCTATTCGGTGCTTCCAGTGCCAGCACTCAAAGATCAGGGGAAGAGGAGCAAAGAAGAGACAGACACAAGCTGGTATTCTTCGTTTACAAAAGAATACATTGACATCAAAAGCAAATCAAAAACTTTCAATCTTCTCACTAGGTTTTTACTACTCCTATTCCAACCTATCTTTAAATACTTCTTTAAAGTATTCTGTCATCTATACTCTGTTTTAAAATGAAAAAATAGGTTTTTATCACACTTGGCCACTTGCCACAGCCCTGCTTCATGGCAGCTAGCAGAATTCTGGCAGTGCAAGATACAGGATGCGGGTGGGGGGGATGATGGAAACACAGAACATTAGTTCCAAAATAAACACCTCCAAAAATCTGTCATCTTTGGGAAAATGTATGTATGTATGGAGGGAAGCGAGAGTTGGCAACATCTCTTTCAAATCCTTCCCTTCTCTCTTCTGCAGTGCCCAGCCTTTTACCTTTCCCTCTTTCCTCTACTCACGCCAAACACTTGCCTGGTAAATGCATTATGTAAATTTCTTAAATTACTTATAACACAATAGCACTACAGTCTGTTTCATTACTATTTTAATTTAGCATTTTATATAGTCTTGCTTGTTTCAGCACAATCTGTGAACTCTGAGATTATTGGCTGTTGCCTGAATCAAAAAAAAAGTAATTCCTTCTTCATATTTGTGTGATTCCCAACGCTGTAGTATCTAGGCACAAAGAACAAGCTGAGCTATAGCTGCACTATCCACAGGGTTGAAGGATTTACGCAATGGTCTCTAGGACTTTTTAACTCACTCTCATTTATCCAACACTGACAATATCTATGTTCTTGCCGCTATTATGCTCAGTTCACAGAGTTTGGGAGAAGAGACTACTATGGGCAACTAATTGCTTATTAAGGTTTTCATACTCGGGCTAGCAGGTAACAACTCAGAATTAACAAGTTACTAGAGCAGGACCATCTCACCTCAACATTCCAATATTAACTGCTTTTTTTCTTTCTCCCATCACTCCAACTCTGGAGTCCTCAACACATCTTCACCTCTCCCCTACTCACTCAGCAGTTTGGATTGGAAAAAGAAGATGAAAGAGAAAAACGGGACTAAAAGCACAATGACCTGGTTTAAGAAGAATGCAGGATAAACTGTTCATCGACATGTGAGAAGTAACTATGTAAACCTGCTGAAAACGAACTAAGCTCCTTCTTCACTTCAAGCCCTTGAACCTTGTGAGAATAAGGAAATACATTACACTTGAGTTTATGATTTTTTTATAAGAGCCACCCAACAAAATAACATAAAAATTACTTATA